CTGAAAAGAAAATAAAGTTGAAGATTAATGGAAAAAAAATGTTAAAAACAGATATTACCATATTAACAAAATGATTGTAATGAAATATTCCATTCTATCCAAATTCATTACAAATAAAGTCAGTTTGCATTTTCAAAAGCAATATCCTCTGAAAAATGTTAAGATTACAAATGACAACAAATGTATAATTAGCTTTACTAGATGATTAAGAATCAGCATTAAGCTGAGGAGAGAGACTGTAGCACAACGGCAGGCACTTGGGTTTAAGGAATGTGCCTACTGTACATTCCTGGTCTTTCTACAGAAGAGACAGTGTGATCCAAAGCCATGATACTTGCACAGCTGAAGTCTCAATTTTCAGACAAAGTCAGTGACATGAAAATCAGATTTTTGTCACTTCTTCCCATACAGAATCTTTATAGTTGAAACTATGTCAAAGCTTTACATGTACACCTGGTTGATTTGCTGGCCCAGTCCTCCTCTTCACCTTGAAATACATAGCTTTGCTGCACAGTCTGCGCCTGAATGCAGCTACCACTAGTGAGGCTGACATGTCAACCAGACACAGGTGTCACTGAACGTGTCTAACATTTTTCTGTAATCAAATAACTTCCATTTGGTCTCAGCTCTCATATATAACAACAAAAACAATCCTGAAATTATAGTAGTGTCTTGCATACAACGGCTAATGTAGTAAACAAGTTAAGTTTTATTAAAACTCGACATCTCTTAAAAAATACAACATTACTTTTTAGCCTTATGTGAACAGTAACTCCAGACTGGTCTCATACTGTGTAACTGCTTTATTTTTCAGATACAAACTTACTTTTTTTGAAAAGAGGACAGCTGTCCTATTTTATTACCATGTATTTGCTCCTCCACAAGTGGAATCTGCTTAGCCAATTCCTAGATAATCGGCTGAGGGAAAACCAAGAAAGGAGTGTTTCCATGGCATGTGCAATCCTCCACCACCCACTACTGTGGGTCCTGGATGTGAGGTAGAGAAGACGTCCAAATTATCTGAACTAGACATTTCTACCTACCCAGGGATATGTTCAAGGGAGCAGCAGAATTTACCATAGATAAGATGAAATGTTGGCTCTGTTTCACTGAGCCAACATTTGCAACAGTATGAGGATTCATTGCATGTGGAAATCCCAGTAAACCACCTCCTGGGACAACTGGTCTATCTAAAGGCAAAAGAGTTCAGCACTGAAAAGGCAGAGACTTTACATGTCTCTTACTCTCTAACCAAGCCTAGCATCTCAGATTTTCAGAAGTTATTAGCTTTTTCTTTTCCATGGATATACAACCACTCATTTGATGAAAAAATAGTAGAAAAAAGTTCAGCAAGTACAAACTTCAAAGAGTACATGGGTTGATATTAGGTATTGTGAATAAGCCATTTTTTTCCAGCAACAGAGTCTGGCATTTTGAGCAAATGTGAAGTGTCCCTATGTTCTTATAAAGTATTCTACTGTAAAATCTGGATGTTTCACTACATTCAACCATAGTAGCTGAATGTCTTCAGTCATACTGTCTTATTTACTCAGCAAGTTCTACTTTCTATTAAAGGATAATACATTTAAAATTAGTTAATCTATTAGAGCTAAGAAAGTACCAAAGGTTCCTGAATGTGGGCTCTATATCTTACCCCACAGCTATGTTTACTTTAGATGTGGGCAGAGAAGTCCTCATAGCTGTTAAAGATATATGTGAATCTCCAGGGAACTCAGAGTGTTGGACAATCACTTTCTTTAAGACATAGTCTTAAACTCCGGAAAATACGTGTAGACTTGTATAAACATATTAGTTCCTCTTTGCATCCAATATATTGATAAGTGAAGGATTAAATTTATATATAAATTCCATTGAAATACTTGGTATCTGTGAATACCTATTTTTGGAAATTATCCAAGGCAGTTAACAACAAAGAAACCAGGCAGTTCCGAGTGGCTCACATCAGCTGGTGTTGGGTAGATAACACTTGGAAATCCTTTGAGTTGGAAAGGGGGCATAAGAGTTCTTTGAGCAGGTTTGACACTGACCACATACTCTGGAGTTTCTTTGGTTGGAAGAAATTCCATAAACCTCAGTCTTGGTAACCATCCCTATTACAATTGAAATATTATAATATTTAGAGATTTAAAATACTTAGCTTTGCTAGTAGCCATAACAGAATCTCATATGTCTCGTTCATCTATATTGAAGTGAAGAAGACACCTTATTTTCCTCTGTATGCCTGTTTTTAAAGTTTGAGAATCCATTTTAAACATCACTGTAATTTTAATTCTCTCCAGCCAAATCTCACTTAAACAGTAAGAAAACATCTAGAAAGGGAAAACCACTAATTTAAAGCTAGACTTGTTTCCAGCACTAGAAATTTCACCCATATCCCTGGTGACATGGAGGAGGAATTGCAGGTACTACTACTACACAAGCTTTAATGTCATGACTACTATTTTTAAAGCAATGGAAATCGGTACATTTTCTTTTTCTTTTTTTTTTTCTTTTTGTCGGATTAACTGGTATTACTGCAGTACTAAGAAAAGACAGTAAATTTATATCTGTAAGAATTACATTGCTTTTGGTCTAGTGTAAACCATTAGCTACACTGGAGTTTACCCTGTGAGCTTTTTGTTCCCTCACTGCTCTGATCCAATTCCTGCATTTTGACTCCATACTGCATCCCATTCCTGTACCATCTTTGACTATGGCACAGCGCCCCACAAGACCAAAAGTCACCCATGGTGGGGCATTGAGTGGCCTAAATGCAAGGGCCACTTGTAAGGAAGGAGCAAATACGAATACATAGTGCTTAGGCTTTGTTAAACCATCAGTATATTTATCGCAGCTACTGAAGTAACTAGCAAGTTTACAACACTGACGTAATAAAACATGTTGCTAATAGGATTACATCAATATTTTACAGAAATCTGGACAACTAAGAGGAAAATACAGATAAACAAACACATTAAGCAATTTCAAAAGAAAAGAAAAATGACTGTTTCAACCTGGTATTTACTTTTGAGTACATTCATATTACTCTTTTGCCAAAACAGTCATAACTTATTGTCAGTGCTCTACACTATTTTTTTCATCTTACTGTGTAAACCATGTTTATTCCTTAAAACAAAGGAGTTGTGAAGTAATCCTAATGTGAAGACTGTTACCTAAGTCAATCCTGGCTCCCAAAAAAGAATGTTTTACATTTCTATTATGATAATGCTGAAGTTTGTAGAGTGATATTAACATAAAAAGGGTATTTCAGAATTAGCAATGCTTATGTTCTTGTTAAAATAAGAAATACTTATTCCTTTTCTTTTACAGGATATTGAAATTCCACTTGAACAAATATGTGCAACGTAAACATAAAATAAAATAAAATGTAAAAAAAGATTCTTCCAAATCATCTGTAAAAGAAAATGGAGTATATAAATTTAATTGCAAAATTCTCATTCTTGCACCCTCCTAAATACACTTGACATACGTAAGCACAAACATGGAAGAATATATTTCCAAAGGGGAGAGAATACATGCTTGGATATTATGTGGGGAGAAAAAATGCATTGAAATTCCTCTGTGATGAATAGACTTTTTTTTTTCTCCTCAGGGTGACCTCTACCTTCAGAATATGATGGTTTTATTATGATTAATAAATTTCATTTCCACAGAGGAAAGGAACAGTGTCAGCTTAAACTTAAAGCAAGTGGGTTTCTTTTTAAATGCTAATTTTTAAACACGCCCTTGCATGACACCAAATTTAGAAGCTCAGAAGGTTAGCAGAATAGGTTCTGATTTCCATGCTGAAAATAGCAAGAAGGATTTAAACTATATTGTCACACTGAAAATCAGTAAGCTAGTTCAGTCACATAGTCATTGGTTCATTTATTCGCTATTATGCCAGCATGCTTATTTCTCATTAAAATTAGTGGCATTTAAGTGCTTTGTGATAACTTACACTGGAAATAATCATTCTAGGTAAACAATTTACTAAAATTTAGGACATGCAAATGGCAAAGTACTTTGAATAAATTAATAGTCAATGTGATTATCTGTGTATTTTACAGAATGTTAAATCAATGTATCAAAACCAATATGTGCACTCACAAATTCTTGTCTAAGAAAACATCTGATGAACAATTTTGATGCATCACTAATTAGAACAAGGTAAGTTCTGCTATTTTCCAGTATATCTGCACCAAGTATTCAGGACATAACAGGGGAAAAAAAATATGTTTGCTAGCATTTTGTTACCATACTGCACTGGTTCTGAAGTAGCTGGGCTAACATCTTACTGGGAAATAACTGAGGAAAAAAAAATCAGTGTAGCCATGGTAACATCTGTAAATGTAGCTGTAAACTATTCGCCAAAAAGGAAGCAAGGGTTACCTGGCCTTATCCAGATAAATGATGCCATCTTGCTCTCTCTTTTGGTCACTTAACTATGATGATCCCAAGACAGATGACCTGTGCAGCAGAGCTCCTTCATACACACACCAGTTACACCCCACATTGCTGCGCAGCATTTTAAACTCAAGAAGTTAAAACTCTGCAGCAGCCCTTTAACTTAAAATTCTTAATTACATTAGGATGGTATCTGCTTCTGGCACTCAAAGCGTGTGCAACCAATCAATTTACTTAATTTTGGAAATCAGTACCATGTAACTTTAGGCATTTCAGTCACCTGAATAAGCAACAAGATTCTCTATATATCTCAGAAGGCAATGAGGGAAGACATCTATACTAATTTTTACTTAGAACAAGGAAAACTATTGAAATCTGCTGATAATAACAGTTTCTAGTCATTTCTCTTTGTAAAATTTAAGAATGCTAAAATCCTCTATGCAAAGTTTTAAATGCACAATATCAAACAGAAAGATAATTCTACAAGGCAGGGCCATGAAGTATTTTGTTGCATATCATTTTCCTCTATAATGTTTTACAGATTTGTGATGTGGAGCAGAGAAAAAATGAGGGAGATGTAGTAGAGACAGCAC